CACTAAACTTGTTGCAATCACAAGCATTTGGAGTTCTCAAATGTATTACAGTAAGTGAAAACAGCAAACTCAAAAGGCAACGTGCAGTGTGATTCCATTTATATGCTATTCTGATAAAGGGAAACTTATAGGGACAAAAACAGATCAGTGGTTGCCAGGGCTAGCGGTGGTGGGAGGGGTGGACTACAGAGGACTGTGCAGGAATTTGAGGGAGAGATGTAGCTGCTCTCTACCTTGACTGTGGTGCTGGTTATGCACTAAATACAAACTGTTTTTGTTGTCATAACTCAGAATTAAAATTCACACTACAGAGAGTAAATTTATTTATTTTTTATTTATTTATTTATTTATTTATTTATTTATTTATTTATTTATTTATTTATTTTTGAGACAGTCTTACTCTGTTGCCCTGGCTAGAGTACAGTGGTGTCATCATAGATCACTGCAACCTCACACTCCTGGCTCAAGTGATCCTCCTGCCTCCTGCCTTGTTTTGTTTTGTTTAGTGGTGGTATTATGAATTTTTAAAATTAGATTTTCTATTGGTTATTAATGGTATACAGGAATGCTACTGTATACCGAGTAGCTGGGACTACAGGCAGACACTACAACACCCAGCTACATTTTTCTATTTTTAGTAGAGACGGGGTCTTGCTCTTGGTCAGGCTGGTCTTGAACTCCTGACCTCAAATGATCCTCTTGCCTCAGCCTCCTAGAAGTGTTACCCACCGACCCCGGCCTACAAAGAGTGAATTTTACCAATTTTACCTCAATAAACCTGATCATTAAAACACACACACACACACAAAAGCATTGGGAGGAATTCACACTCATAAGTGAGCTGTGTTGTGTGGCTCCAAAAGTGGATAAAGTTGACCTGAGCATCAGTCTCCAAGCTCTGAGATAACCAGTACTTTCCTGATGTCAGAGGGGCCACGTATAACAAAACAAGGATTCATAAAACCATAAGGCATTCCCAAGGCCCACTGATAACTCTAGCCCTGAAAAGACTGTCTCAGACGCGCTGTGGGCCTGGGTTCTAAGTGCACCTGAGAAACTATGACCTTTAACCACGCTGCTGCAGGGAACATCCTCACTCACAACGGTTTTCAGTCTGGGCACACAGCTCAGGCTCCCACAGCACAAAAAACCACCTGGGCTTTGGTTGCCATGAGTCCCAACCCTTGGGCTTCTGCTTACCCATCATTACTTTCTAATAGGATAGAGGGAAAAAATAGGAAAACAGCAGAAACTGGCCTGCTGCGCATTTTGGCTCCTTGGAGACTATATTATTATGATTTATAAGCTACTGTTTATATAATGAGTGCTCACCATGCACTAGGAATGGTACAAACTTACCTACAAGCATTCTCACTTTTAACCTTCATATGATGCCAATATTATTGTTTTCCTCACAATAATGGGAAAACTGGATTGAGGAAAATTAAATAATGGAGTTTCAAAATTAGTCAGGGGAGGAGGCCAGACTAGAACCCAGGTCTCTCTGACTCCACAGCCCATCTCCTCGCTGCTGTGATACACTGCCTTGCCAACTCCGCAGTGCATGGCTCGAGCCTGCAGGTGGACCCTGAATGAATGAATGAATGAATGAGGACTGGGAGAGAAGGAGGGAGAATGATGCCTGCTTCCTTGACTAACAGAATTCTACTCTGGCCCTGCATTATGTATTTACTGACGCCAGGTGACAGTACGTTACAGGGTTCCAAGCACTAGACTGCTCACATGAATGAGGTTCTCTCTCAATGTGAGCTGATCTTGGTGCAACAACGACAAGACACATCCTTCACCTCATCTTGATGTGTGATTCTGCCAGCCTCTCTCTGTAGAGTCTTTCTTTTCCCAGTTTATTTCAGACCCTGCTCCCCATGCAGATCTGGGACGATGAACACATACACCACGACTCTTCCTGGGGTAACCCCCCTCACAAACATCTCATTTGCTTATTTGTTCATCTGATCTGCACCGTACCCTCTGAGATAACTGGGGTTACTTTCCCAGTTTACAAATGAAAAAGACTGAGCCTCAGAGTGGTTCAGGAATCTGCTAAAGTCCCTCTCCTGTCCAAAAAGAGTCAAACTCAAGCCTCTTGTCTCCAAGTGCATGACCATCCTCCAGTCCACACTGCCTCTCTTAGCAATGCAGAGGGGGTTTTATTGCTTATTTAAATGTATGCTGCAAAAACCTCAATTTAGTTTGTTTTTTCTCTATGCATTTTTATTTTTTTGTTTTTTTAAATTTTTATTTCAGAATATTACAGGGGTATAAATGTTTTGGTTACCCGGATTACTTTTGTACTGCTTGAGTCAAAGTTATAAGTGTGTCCATCACCCATTTAAATGTTCCCCAAACCCAATTTAGAAAATCACAAAATTCTGATGCAAGCAGGAACAAACATTCTGTAAATTTTAATTCATGCCGTTACACTCTACAATCCAACCCACACAAATCCTGCTCAAATGTCAGTTTGAATCTTTTTTTGTTTTTGTTTTCAAATCTTAATTGTAGAGATTTCTATTCTTAAGAAACCCAGCTTTATTGTGTGTGGTGGAAAGAGGCTGGGCTTTGACGTCAGAGCTGAATTAGAATATAGCTCCGTCGCTGACTAGCCATGGAATGGAGGGCCTGTTTCTTAATTACTCTGAAGTGGTTTCCTCGTGCAGAAATCAAGAACACCTATGTTCAACAGTCACTATGCACATTAAACGATGGGACTATAGGTAAAGATTTAATATCCCAGAGATAACCTGGGTGAATGACAAATATTAGTTTCCTTCCCTTCCCTTCTACAGAAATCATAATTTGAACGCCCATTCTTTTAACCCCAAAACATTTTTCATTTAGTCATTAAATATGTGCTGAGCACTGTGTGCCCTGGTCATCTGGTAGGGAAGGCAGCCAGCAAACAGATAATGGTAACAAATAACTGATTACAGTAATAACAATCACTGTGGCGAGTCCTGCTGAGTCTGTTTCAAACACTGCCCTGTGGTCACCATCTCCCAGCCCACACCCACTCCCTAGATCTGACAGCCAGAGACCTGACCCCTAGCCAGAGGGTCCTCTGCTAAAGGGTCATGATTTTCGTCTCCTGGTGGACTTCCTCTGAAGCCTCCTATGTGGCATATATTTGGGCAGAGGGAAAGGACTGACCTTCCTGTGTGTACCATGAACGAGGGGGTGGGGAAAAGTGTGAGGGGCTCTTTGAGCTAGGCTTGTGGGGGATGGGTCAGCAGTATCTGTGGGGTTTTCTGGGGACTTGTCTGCTCAGCTGGTGCCCCTCCTGGCTTCCACACAGCAGGTGGTGGTGTCATGTTCTTCCAGATCCCGGCCGGCTTTGAGGTCTGCACAGTGTGCATGTGCCTGTCTGGGGGAAGGGTATCAAAGACTCTGGGGAAGGCAATGGGAACAAGACAAACCTTTGCTGATGTCCACTGTACCAGGCACTGTACCAGGCACTGACCCCCACAGCAGTCAGGTGAAGTGACTATTATTATCCCCTCTTACTTAGGTGGGACCTGGGACTTAAGGTGGTTAAATTCATTCCTTTATCCAGCAGACATTTACTCAGTCCCTACTCTGTGTCAGATTCTGAGTCCAACACAAGGTCACAAAACTGCCAAGTAGGAGAGCTGGATTCAAACAGTCTGCCTGGATCCAAACTCCTTGCTCTTCTCAATCCAACTTGATACCTTGAGAAGGTTTCATACTTAAGGCAATCAAAACATGGCTGGGCTGCCACGTGTATCAGAACAAGACAGGTGGTGGGGTAAAGCTGTGCGTGCTAACGGTGGAAGAAAAGGCATATGATAATGGGCCCAAGTGCCTTCATCATTAAACTAGGAGAGTGGGGGCTGGGCCTTCCTCATCTCCATATCTCCTGAGCCGGGCACAGAGTGGGTGATGCACACAACTCAGATAAAATCCAAATGCATGGGGCTAAGTGAAAGAAGCCAGATTCAAAAGACTACACACTACTTGACTTTATTTATATGATATTCTGAAAAAGGCAAAACTATATTGATTGAAAACAGCTGAGTTGCCAGAGGCTTGTGGTGGTGGGGGTGGAGAGTTAGGGGAGGGAGGGTTGGGAATATTGACTACAAAGGGGAATGGGAAACTTCTGGGAGATAATGAACCTATTCTACATTTATACTGTGGTACTGATTACATGACTGTGTGCATTTGACAAAGCTTACAGAACTATCCAGAAAAAAGGGTGAATTTTACTATATGCAAATTATACCCTCATTTTTTAAATAGGAAAAAACAAGAGAGAAACAGGAAAAAAAAAAATGAATACAAGCATAGGTAGGTTGACAGGGAAGCTAATGAAGCTTAAGCTTCTGGGCTATTCGACTTCATGATCCCTGGGAGAGATCCCAGCAATGTATTTATCAAATTTTTATTTTTTTTATTTTTTTTATTTATTTATTTATTTTTTTTTTTTGAGACAGAGTCTCGCTTTGTTGCCCAGGCTAGAGTGAGTGCCGTGGCGTCAGCCTAGCTCACAGCAACCTCAAACTCCTGGGCTCGAGCGATCCTTCTGCCTCAGCCTCCCAAGTAGCTGGGACTACAGGCATGTGCCACCATGCCCGGCTAATTTTTTATATATATATCAGTTGGCCAATTAATTTCTTTATATTTATAGTAGAGACGGGGTCTCGCTCTTGCTCAGGCTGGTTTTGAACTCCTGACCTTGAGCAATCCGCCCGCCTCGGCCTCCCAAGAGCTAGGATTACAGGCGTGAGCCACCGCGCCCGGCTCATTTATCAAATTTTTGATGACCTTTTCTGAATAACTCCCCCCCTAAAAAAATAGTAAAAGCTTCAGGCTCTGAGAAACCTGGATTGACCCTGAACACAAGTACAAGAACAGATCAAAGGCAGAATAGAGGGTTCCCAAGGAGTTGGACTCAAGCAGGGCCACAGAGAAAGGTGAGACTTGTTCTGGCAGAGACAGAGGTAAAGAAGACAACTCACGGAGAGGAACCAGCATGGGAACCATGCAAACGTTTTCCAAGACCCACAGTGATGACATGAGCACCGGGAATTTGGTGGTCCAATATTATACATTCACCACCCCAGGCACATGTGTCATGGGGTGATCTCCTCAGCTACGCCGAGCCATTCTAAGCAGACAGGAACGCTGTGATGTAAGAGGACATGAAGATTGTAAATGCTGCTGAACTGGCATAACAGGCATTTGTCATGTTCTGGCTCCCAGCACAGCAATGACCCCCACCACCCTGTGCAGGGAAACTTTCACCTTAGGTACCTGAAGCTGAAAATGGTTGATGCTCAGTTTCCCAGCCTCCCTCGCAGCAGGGATGTAGGCCTGTGGGTCAGGCACTACCAGTCAGACACACCTGCCCAGATAGGAACCCAGGTCTTTGCAACCCTCTCACTCAACTACACTGAGCCTGCATCCTCCTGTTTACGATGATGCTATGATACCATGTGAACAAAGACTGCCAAATGAGGCTGGTCTTATATGCCTAGTTACTGATTTCCTCACCTTTTAAAATCAGCCAAGTACAGAATAGAATGGGGCTGAGCCTTAAAAATGGTTCTCAAAAGATAATTGTCTCAAAAGATAATTGTACATCCATGTTCATAGCAGCATTATTCACAACAACCAAGAGACGGAGGCAACCCAAGAGTCCATCAATGGATGAATGGATTAAAAATGTAATATATATATGTATGACTATTATTCAGCTTTAAAAAGGAAGAAAATCCTGACACATGCTACAACTTGGATGAACCACGAGGACATTATGCTAAGTGAAATAAGCCAGTTGCAAAAACACAAATACATATGATTCCATTTGTGAGTGGACTACTCTGGATAAATCTATTACCTATCTAGATAAGCCAAAATCAGAAAAACACAAAGTAGAATGGGGGTTGCCAGAGGCTGGGGAGAGAGGGTAATTGGGAGTTGATTAACGGGTAAAGAGTTTCAATTTTCAGTTTCACTAAATGGAAAAGTTCTGGAGATTGGTTGTGCAACAATGTGAATATACACTATTGAACTGTACACTTAAAAATGATTAGGATGGCAAATTTTATGTTACATTTTTATCACAATTAAAGTAAGATAAATTTACAACATTTATGAACCCCTCAAAACAATCTTTACCTGAATATTATTCAAAATCATCCAGATTTCAAAATTTTATAAAAACAGAATTTACTTAGTATAGGCTACCAGTTCATTTAATCCATTAAAGGTTAATTCTAACAAGTTTAGAAGAAAGCAGAATATAATCTTTCAAGTTAAATCTGGTCTACTTCATGGTACAATGCTATTTTTTAATAATTTTCAAACAAAATAAAATTTACCAATTTTAGAAGACATTTTAAATCCATCTCAATTCATTCAATTCACTGCAATGACATTTCAGATGAGTAAAAATGAACAAGCAATGCAAATACATTTATTTTAATTGTTCTGATTGTAGAGGAAAGGTTATTGCTGTATATTATCTTCTATTCAGAAGTTAAACTATTAAAAATGTTTCTGGCCAAGCATGGTGGCTCATGCCTATAATCCCAGTGCTTTGGGAGGCTGAGGCAGGAGGATTACCTGAGACAGGAGTCCAAGACTAGCCTGGGCGACACAGCAAGACCCCATGTCTACAAAAAATAAAAATATTATCCAGGTGTGGTGGCAAATGCCTGTAGTCCTAGCTAGTCGGGAGGCTGAGGCAGGAGGATCACCTGAGTTCTGGTGTTCAAGCTACAGGGAGTTATGATCAGGCCACTGCATTCTAGCCTGGATGAGAGAATGAGACCCTTTCTCTAAAAAAATTTTTTTAAAAATAAAAAATATTTTTTGCTATTGATATATTTTAATATAATAATAATAATATATATATATATATATCCTGATTTGTTATAGAAAGCATCTTAAGTGGCTTGGTTATACATAATTATGTGGCTCATAAGAAATTACCATGATTCCGGGCCACAGGATTTGTCAGGCTCAGTACCACTAACAAAAGCACTATTTTCACCTAAACCTGGAGGAGAAAGAGGGGGCAAAAAGCAACTCTGCCCAGACCTGAGACTATGTCTCACCTGCTCATGATGAAGAAAGATTGTCTGAAATGGGGGTGTCTAGCTCAGGCCCAGAATGCCACCCTAATTAGAACACAAAACTTCACTTAAAAAAAAAAAATGGAAGCTGGAAAACAGCCAAGTTTCCATCAGTGAGTGAAATTTAAATTTTGAGAGAATTTCCAGCATGTGTCTTAACTGTGAGCGAGTCAGGGCTGTCAGGGAACAAACACAGCTCATGGTGGCTACAGAATGGTTCTGGCCAGAAGTTTTGGACCTGGCTCCTGAGTCGGTCAGGCCAAGGGAGAGGGGAGCAGGCCAGTGAGCCAGGAACCCACCTGAGGCAACGCTTGCACACCTGCCCTGCAGACCACGGAGGAAAACCCACTGCTGGCCACACAACTCCAATGCCCCAGCTACCACGTGCCATGGGGGCCCTGCATGAGGAAGGTGAGGCCCCAGTTTGGACAATAATTTTTTTTATTTTTGATACTTTGAAGGGTAATCCTTGGTAATGCTCTAAAACGTGTGGTAGAATACTGCATCATAGTTTAGTTAAAATATAACAGTTTGCTTTGTTTAGGAAATGGAGATATTCGTCTCGATTACCACAGAATGAGAATTGCTCTTTAACAACTGTGCCATTTGCTTTTGCAGATCTGAAGGGAATGGAAAAAACTAGGTCACTAAGAAAGAGAAAAATTCCAAGAGAGAATAACAGAAAGAGTCAGCTTTGAGGATGGAGATGTAAGAAATTTTGTTTCTGAATGAAAAGAATATACATTCTTTCCATCTGTGAGCCTCAAATGGCCATGCTCAAGGGGGGGCGGGGCATAAGGGACAGTCTAAGTGAGAAATGTCCCATTATCCAGGGAACCAACTCCAAGAAGGAAAGCTTCAAGTTTTGAGAAAAAAAAAAAGTTAACATCCCATAGTAACCAATGCCATTACTGAGCACTCACTGTGTGCTGTGCCCAGCTTTCAGCGGTTTACACACATCCGCATGCACGGAAACTCTATGAAGCAGGCATGATTCTAATCTCCATCTCACAGACTGGAAATGTAATCAGAGAAATGAAATCACTGGGTGAAGGTCACACAGTGAGTCCATGGCAGGTCTGGAACTAGAATGTGAGATTTCAAAGCTTGGGTACTAAACCACGGATGTCCCAACTTTTTTGACTTAGAAAAAAAATCAGTAAAACATTTTGATCGCATGTTATCTGTATTACCATGACTCCTCGTCTTTGCTGAGGAAATCTTTTTAAGTCATCTTGAGGATTGTTTTATTTAAAATGTGATCATCTAGTACATAAGCTCACTTAACAAGGCTCATGCGAATTAGAACACTAATTGTTAGACGAGTGTTGTGGCACGCTCCTGTAGTCTCAGCTACTCAGGAGGCTGAGGTAGGAGGATCGCTTGAGTCCAGGAATTTGAGGCTGCAGTGAGCTGTGATGACACCACTGAACTCTACACAGGACTCTGAACACCAGGCTGTGCAAATGAGACAGAGTGAGAGCCTGTCTCAAAAAAAAAAAAAAAAAAAAAGGAACATGAATTGGGTTCTGCTAGGAGTAAACAAAATAGTGAGGGACTGTGTTGATGTGTCAATCCTTCTGTGTCGTGGATCTGCCCCTCTCCCTGAGGATCTCTCAAGGGGGCATGTGCCACATGCCTGTCAGATGTGCAGACTCAGTGCCCCTTGTTGAGGGCCTACTCTGCAGGCACTGAGCTACAAACCACCCACTTGACACCCTCCATATTCAGAACACCTGGAGGACTTCCCTGCCCACAGAGCTGGCCAGCACATGTGAGTGGGGGTGTGGCCTCTATTCTGCCTGGCTATGAGGCCACTCAAGCCCTAAATTGCGCCACAGGAGGGATGACCTTGAGACCCTGGAGCTGGGGGACCTTGATTCTGGCCTGTGTTGTGTCATTTACCAGACAAGGATCCTTGGACAAGTGCCCAGGAGCCTCACTTGTTTTATCTCCTTTGCAAAACGGGATGTCCCCACAGGTGCTGGTGGGAGGGTCAAATGGAATAATACACAAGAAAATACTTTGAAAATGGAAATGCTACACAGACCTGTGAAATTGTTTTTCCTATGGGGGAGGCGCTGAGAAGATGACCATGGACTATTGTGTCCCACCAGCAGAATGGGTGACATGGGAGCCATCATGGGAGTTATTTGACCAATCCTGGGGAGTTAAAAGCTCGTTGGCTACCAGTGGCAGGTAGAGAAAGGCATGCCTCTTTTTAGGGTTGATTGGTTGGTTTGCTTGGGAAACACTGGAATTAAAGGAATGAGAGGGGTTTGGAGGGCACAGCACTGGCTACAGGTGCCTGGCCAGTTCCCAGGATAACAGCATGGGGTCCCGGGGCATGGAGGGGGGATGTGGCACAGGGCAGGGCTCCCAGCTAGGGGTCAGGAATCCTGGCTCTAGGCTCAGCTCTGATCCCAACTGGCCATGTGATCTTGGGCCATTCACACTGGCTCCCCGGACCTCAGTCTCCTCATTTTGTTGTTCATATAACATTCACCTAGTGCCCACCAGCACGGTGGGCATCCAGCACTATTCTCTTGCTCCCGAGCCAGCAGTGAACTAAAGAGGAAAGCACCAGGTTGAGTTCTGGGGTGCCCTCCCAGCCCCCAGCTCTAGCATTCTTTATTCCCCAAGACTGCAGTCTGAGCCAGACCCAGCCCTGGTCTCTGTGTGGACACTGCTGAGCACGAACTGGCCCCTCTACACTCCACGCTGCATCCTGAGATAGTGTGAGGATGTTAGCAAACACCCACACCCTCCCCTAAGGGAGAGGCAAAGCTGCTACAAGGCCATCAGAACAGCCACAGCCAGTGGTCCCTCGCCGTGGTATGTTCCTGCAAATTGCAGCAGGAAGTAGTGTTGTCAAAAGGGGATCATTTTTTGCTGTTTCCCTTTGTCACCAGCAGATGGGAATCCAGGGTCAGCAAGGCAGAGTGCTGACAGAGCTTTCCTTTGGATGGTGGAAAAACAAAGAGTGGATAGGCTGGGGAAGAAAACAGGAAAA